CCATTTATTTTGGCAAGTCAAGCAAAACAAGTGTTCTTCGTTCCCGATCTAGCAAAAAAGAAATTGTCTATCGTGCTTCAAGGTAAAAGGCAAGGAGTTGGTGGAGATGATGGTGACTTAGAGCTTAATCTTGATTTAACCCCGCCTTTCACAGCTACTCGACCTAAAGCAGTTGAATTAGATTTGGTAGATGATGACTGTGCTGTTAGAGATGATCATTGTGAAGGAATTTGGGAGGATAATCGTTATAAGCCTTAAATGAATTATTTGATTTTTTTTTGCTAAATATACTTAATAATATAATGTTTTATATTAACTTGATATTTCTTATTCTTACATTTATTAATTTGTTGTTCTTTAAACAAGAAATAGATGGATCCGGTTAACAGGGTTCTAGTGACGACAGCTCTTTTACTAGCCGGAGAAAGGGTAGAGGGCCAACCCATATGAGGCATTTAGCTTTACATGATGAGAGCACACAGCCTATAAGGATTACAGTGGAGTTTGATGATGATCTGAAGCCTATAGGAAAGGCTGGGGTTCAATTTACTAGTTATGTGGGTTATCTCACACGCAGTAAGATTAGCATTGACATTCCTAGCTGGAAGAAGGTGGACAAAGATTTGAAGAAAAACCTTTGGGAGGATATATTGGTATATTGTGCATTGTTTTCTCTACTTGTTTCAATTATAGTTGCTTATTTACTTTATAACTCTATGCTATTATTGTATTGCAGCTGACATTTGATATTCTTGCCACTAAGCAAATGAGAGACCGTCTGTTGAAGCAACTTGATGAACGGTGGAGGGATTTTAAGGCCACGCTTACAAAACATTATATTCGTGGAAAAGAAAGGGTGAGCATCCTAAGGAACGATATTCATTTATTAGTGAAGAGGCATGGGAGAGTTTTGTGAAGCAACGTGAAGACCCTGCATTTCAGGTTTGGTTTCTTCAAACTTAATTTTTAATCAGGTCATATTTTATTTAACTAAACTAATTTTGTCGATTTGGTTTCATTGTCATAGGCATTGAGTCAGAAGAACAAACAAATATCTGAGCATAATGTATACCCACATACCATGTCTCGTGCAGGGTATGGTGGGTTGGAAAGAAGTATGATGGAGGAACGGCTGAAGAATGCACAGATGGCTGCTGCTTTAGATCCTACTGGCTACATGCCACCTATTAGCATCCGTCTCGCCAAGAAAAATGGAAGGTGGCGAGGATTAAAAAGTGTCAATACATTACTCCACAGTCTGCTGCTGTTGCTGAGAGGATTGTAAGTAATATTTAAGAATTATGCTTCATTAATTTTTTTTTCAATTATCTTAAATTGAATTTGTTGCTTTAATGATATAGGATACACTTGAGGAGCAATTATCTCAAGGTACATTCATCCCTCAAAGACGGATGGATATCTTGGCCACTGCTATTGGAAAGGCAGACCATCCCGGAAGAGTCCGAGGGACCCCTAAAGGGATTGGTATTAAAGAATTTTTTGGCTCTGCTTCACGAAGAAGCACTAGATCATCCTCCGCTAACATGGTATCTAAAGAGGAGCTCGACTAACGACTACAGAAAGAAACAGAGAGAGTTCGAGCTGAACTAAGTGAACAACACATGGCAGAGATGCAAAAGATACGTGACAAATTTGATGCCAAGTTTCAATAGACTCTGATGATGATGGGTACAAGTGGATTCCAGATGCCTCGAGTATCTAAACCTTCCCAGGTAATAATCACACATCTTTTTAAATCTTCTAAAGATTCATTTGATCCATTTAAACTTATTTAATGTTTCTTAACTAATTTTATATTATGTTTCAGGGTTCACCTGTGATAAAAAGCGGAAAGGGCAGTAATAATCAGACACAGCCACTGACAGTGTCTGACCCTGACCCTAGCCCTGACCCTGTCGAAGACAATGGGATGCCGTGTTCTCTCTATGTGGATTATGAAAATTCACCTGTTCATGTTGCTAGTGGTCGAGCATTCATGGGCACAACAATTCACAGCAACAAAATTCCGAGCAATCAAGCAAGGGTGACAGTGGAGAGGATTTTTCATGGTCAGGGGGTACACCAGTGCCCAATCCTACTGATGAGGTTCGACTCTTGGCCCAAGCTAAAGGACATTTCATTTTGTGGCCAAAGAGACTTATTGCAAAGCCAATGGTGAAGAAGGCGGCAGCCAAGAAGGCCACAACGAGCGCATCATCTGATCCTGTACTCTTGCCTCTTCCTGGTGATGTTGCGCTTATGTATTCCAGTTTGGAGGTTCTTCATTCCATGGTGCCAAACATGGATAAGCCTGTGACTTTCAAGATGCCGTTGGGGGTTGTGGGTTCAGATATAACATACGACTTCACCATTGACAAGAGGGACCTCGTTCAGTTCCTCAACTTTGAGGAGCTTGATATAGCCTTCATGCAGCTTGCTATTTTGTAAGTTACAATATCATTTTCTTATTACATATTATACTTCATGCATGTCCTAATGTTTTTTACTTAAACAACAGGCACTTTAATCAAATCTGTCGAAACGGAGGACTTGAAGGAACATATGGCTTTATGTGTCCTCAAAGGGTGCAGAAAGAATTTAATACTGTGGAAGCAAGGTCAATCTACATTATGACCACAATGACTCAGACTAGAAAGCTAATATATTTTGCACCTTATGTGGAAGGGTAAGTGTATTATTGTATTTGAGATATACAAGTTGTATGTGTCGGGTTATAATTAACATGGTTTGCCTTTTGCAGTTATCATTGGACTCTAATTGTTTGTGCCCCTTTTGACAACAAAGTTTACTGGTTTGATTCACTCTGTGGAAGTCCATCCGAAGAAACCAAAGATGTCATTGACACGTTAGTTTTTATTTATATATTACTTGTGAAGTTTATACAAGCATGCTCTAATATCATTTTCTCTTATAATGTTGATAGGGCTTTTCATACTTTTAATGTTGTGGCGATTAAACAAAATAGACAAGCACCAACATGGATTCTTCCAAAGGTATATGTTGTTTTGAACTAACTTTTAAACATTTTTGGATGAATTAAAGTTAATGTTTATAATCAATAATATCTAATATTCAATTTTATATCTTATTTTTTTAGTACCATTGTCAACAAGGACATGTTGAGTGTGGATATTATGTCATCCGCTACATGAATGACATAATTGAGACAGGAACGACTGAGAAATTAGACGAGATAAAGATGAGTTACGTTGCATGACGTTCTTCAATTCATTTCACATTTTTGACTAACTTTACTATGTTATTTTTGATTAACAGATATTTCAAAATACTGCGTCATATCTCATGGATGACATCAACTTGATGAGGGACACTTTGTCAATAACATTAGTAGAAACTATTGAAATTTAGCTTTCAAATAGATAGGTTATTTCTTAAAAAATTCATTGTTAGATGTTTTCTCTCGGTTCCCTCTTATATGTACATGTTCATGATTTCCATTGTATAGAGAAGTAGTTACTTCTATTTCAGAATTGTTGGACCTAGCCAATACGTGTTCCTTGGTCTTAATTAACCACTTAGTTCTATTATATTGGCCGGTTTCCCTATTTTCGAATTGTGTAAAAGAAATTTCATTGCTGTATATATATTAACTAGCTAATTGATCTTGTTTTGCGTGATATGCACTGCCTACATTTATTTGGAACTGTAAACTGCAAGGTGGTAAAAATGAAAATCAAGCAGAATTTTATAAAAAAAATATGTATTTTTAACGGCGGTTATATATATAATCGCCGTTAAAAGTATATTCCACGACGGTTTATAAAAAACCGCCGTTGAAAGTCAAATTTCAACGGCGGTTTTTTTTTAACCGCCATTTTCCACGGCGGTCGAATATAAAACCGCCGTGGAAAATTGAGTTTCCACGGCGGTTAAATAGAAAACTGCCGTGGAAAATCGACTTTCAATGGCGGTTTCGAACCGCCGTGGAAAATCAACTTTCAACGGCGGTTTCGAACCGCCGTGTTTTCTTTACCTTTCAACGTCGCCTTTATTAACTTTGCCTTCAAAACCGCCGTGAAAAGCCACTATTAACCGCCGTGAAAGGCCTTTTTTCTGGTAGTGAGTTTCAAACCATAAGTTTTAGTCTTTTAAGGAATAAAATGGTTCAAGTTTTTATTAAATTATAATGACTAATATTTTTAATGGAAAGAAACTTAAGAGAACAAAACCTATGGTTTAAGACTTGAGAAATTAAAACCAAAATAAAAATAAACTTAAAGGATTAAAAATTATATTGACCTGTTTACTAGTTTACTAATATGATTGCTTTTGGGTTGGATCTTAAATACCATGTTAAGAACTAATGAGCACGAAGCAAGTTTCTCCTCAATTTTTTTCCTTTTTTCCGCTCTTTTCTTTTTTGTTAGAATGTCAAGCAAGCATTTAATTATACTTATATGTATCATAGACAATCTTCAACAGCTAATTATTCATCTGGCTAACCCACGTCGTGACATGAACTATAATTCTTTTCCGCTATTCTAAGGCATCAAATCATCTTAGAAATCTCACTTCTAGTTAGTCAAAGCCAACACTTCTCGTGAAAGATTGAATCTGATTGGCCATGAGATATATACCTCGCGAGTCGCGTGCCTGAGCTGTACTTTTCTTCAGCTATTTTCAATTCACCGAACCTCTTTAGAATCTGTGTGCTGGACTATAATATTAATTCTTCTCATCAAAATCCTACCTGTTATATTCTTTCACATGTATCCATATATTTGACTTCTCATTTTTAAATTAGTTCATTCCTTTCGCGCGTACTCTTGTGACTTACTAATCCAACAGTTTCAGGATATATTTATCCGTTAAACTCACTAGCTTGCTGGTATATATATAATTATATCAATGTACATGCAAAGGCATTATTTGAGCCTCGAGATCACTGACTCCAAAAAATCAGAAGAGGCTTGAGTTTTTGAGCCTTAGGAAAATTCAAACTAGTTTCAAGCCACAAGATGAAGGTTGAGTTTGTGTCCAAACAAATCGTAAAGCCATCTTCTCCAACACCACAAAGCCTCAGAACTTTTAAGCTGTCTTTCATTGACCAGCTTGCTCCTGTAATGCACACTCGAATTCTATTTTCTTATCCCAATGTTGAAAACGATAGTGTTGCTAATCACGACAGGTTTGACAGCCTAAAGAAGTCATTGTCTAAGACTCTAACCCACTTCTACCCACTGGCAGGTAGAGTCAAAGACAACAAAGTGATTGAGTGTAACGATGAAGGTGTCGAGTTTTGTGAGACTTGTGTCCATAGCTTCCTCTCCGACATCCTTAAACAACCTGATGCTGACGTTGTACACCAGTTTGTGCCAGTCGATGATGCCCATTTAGGAAGTGGGTTTCTAATGAAAGTTCAAGTGAATCTGTTTGATTGTCGAGGTTTGGCTATTGGTGTGTCTTTTTCTCACAAGATTGCTGATGCTTCAACGATTGGTTCGTTCATCAGGGCATGGTCTTTTGCGGCTGTTGGGTGCATCACTGAGTCGATGCTTCCTAAGTATGTTCTAGGAACTCTTTACCACCCTTCCATGGATTTTCCGACTGTTCTTCCTCCTGTTGAGTTCAGGCACTTCGATTACACTACTAGAAGGTAATATTCATGCAAGTTTCTGATAGAGTTTACACAGGAAAGTAGTACAAATTTTCATTTAGAAAATTTCAACACCCACGGCCAAAATTCCTTTTAAAAACTGTGAAGTGTCTTGTTTTTAGATACTAGAAAATCTATAGTAGTGAAATAATTAACTGAAAAATCTGTGTAGTTGAGCATCCATGGGAAAAAAATGAAGTTTGAGAGCCACCTTTGATTGAGCTTGAGAATGTAGAGGTCAACTATCACAGTAGCATATATGAAAGAATTACGTCAAAAAATTTACCTTCTAGTCCAATTGTATCTGTGTAGGAAAGTTTACCTTTTTTCCTCGATCAAAAATTATATATAATACAATATTGACTTCAGTAACCTGGATCGCACATTCTCATTAAATTAAAATAATTTCTAATGGAGTGCATGATACAGGTACGTGTTTGATTCCTCAAAGATAACAAAACTGAAGGCTGAAGCTGCAAGCAAAACGGTGGAGAATCCAACACGAGTGGAGGCAGTATTGGCACTAATTTGGAAGTGTGCCACAACAGCATCTAGAACAAACCTAGGAATAACCAAAAGACCCTCTATGGTATCCCAAATAGTAGACATTCGAAAAAGGACAAGCCCACCGTTACCTAACACCTGTGTAGGAAACTTCGTAGGTCACTTCATAGCAAAACCAGAAAATTCTTCTAGTGACAGTGAAATGAACTTACAAGGGCTAGTAATTCATCTGAGGAAAGGTCTCGAACATTTCTCAAAGGTTCATGTCCAAAAACTTCAAGAAGGAAATGCTTTCATGACGGTGTATGAGGGATTGAAGGACATGGAACTGTTGTACAAAGAGGGTATTGATTTCTATGGTTGTACAAGTTGGTGCCGTTTCGAGTTTTATGAAGCAGATTTTGGGTGGGGAAAACCCAAATGGGTAAGTATTCCATACGAAGATAAAGAATTCTTTTATTCTCATGGATACGAGTGATGAAAAAGGAATAGAAGCATGGGTCACTTTGAACGAACAAGATATGGCCTTAATGGAGAGTAACCTTGAACTGCTTGAATTTGCATCCTTGAATCCAACTATCATATAAATAAGATTTAAAGTATCGACATATAGTTTGCGCCTTCTTTATTATGTTAGTTGTTCTGTGTTCAATGTATCATCGTTTCAATCTTTGTAATATGTCATGTTATTGTGTAGAATTTGTTACTTTCGCAAATTGTTCATTCACACGATTATTGTGATATTCGGCCTTCCTGAGTGAAACATGAGAATAAAATTTGGATAAGGGCCAAATAAAATAGAAAAAAACACAAATGAGACATCATATAGGTTTAATCCCCATTGAGGCAAAAAAGTAACTTTGAATGGTTTAAGATCATGACGGATCATTTTGAAAAATATGCTCAAAATTCCAAAAAATTTTGGAAAAAATTGAAAATATTTAAAATATTATGAATAATTTGAGGATGCCATGGGTGAAAACTAAAAACTGGACAAAAACCTGAGGATTTTCCCTAGGGGAAAAAGAAGAAGAAGCAAGGAAGCCTGTAGAAGTAGAAAGTGCTTCACTACAAAAGAAAATGCCAAATCACTGATGACTTATCGACCGAATAATTTCCGTTGCAAAACTCCGTGGCAAATTCTGTCATTCGGCCTTCATGAGTGAAACATGAGAATAAATTTGGATAAGGGCCAAATAAAATAGGAAAAAAAAAAAAACAAATGATGTCACATCCAAGAAAATTTCACTTGGACATATGGAATTAAAAATTGGGACAAGGGCCAACATAAAAACAAGATAGTTTTTTTATGTAAAACCTCGATAAGGTCTAGACTGACATCTTCGTAATTATCAGTTTATGAAGGGTAAAACGGAAAATTTTGAGAAAAATTTTAAAAAATTTCTAAAAATGAGAAAAATGTAAGGTAAAGGTTTTAAAAAGCTCAGTTGAGGTCCAAAAGGTAGAATTATTGTGAAAATAAATTATTATAGAATTTCCTGTAAACTGAGGTTTAATTTTCAGGAAATTATTAGAAAATCAGAGAGAAAAAAAATTATTTTAATTAGTTAGAGGCTTCAATAAATTTGAAAATTTTTTTATAAATCATATAAATATTTATTTGAATTTATAAAATTATTTTTAGGCCTTGAAAGCTCAGGAATTAATTTTAGAAAATTTATTTTCCTGCAGTAATACCGATAAAGGCCTAATCGGAGAAAATTTAAAATAAATACCTAGAGGTGGCAAAAAAATCTGAAAATTTTCATATCATGTCCTTATATTAAAAGGTGAATTATCATGAAGAGAAATAATTTTTTAGAGGTATGAAAAAATTATGAAATGTTACTAGTGAATAGTAACCGATAAAGTGTCAAATTGGTTTGAGATTTTTTTGTTTGGATGTGGGCCATCTTTTGGGGCCAGCCCAAGCCATTTATAGGGCCCACATTGAGCCCAATAAGAGTCCAATTTCGTTGATTGCTGCCCACTCCACAGCATAATTGAATAAAATGCAAATTAAGGGATAAATGTTTGGAAAAGTCTAGAATTGCCACTTGGATTAATCTGATTTATTTTACTGTAAATGGCTACCACATAACCCCCATTAGGTGTCCCAAATTCGGCCAATTAAGGGGAGGAGGGGACAGATTAAATTTTCTATAAATACCCCCTCCTAAAATACAAAAAAAATGTTGGAAAAATAGAAAAAATAGGGGGAGGTTCTGTCACTTTGGTTCCAGCTCTAGTCAACCAAAAATATTGAGGTATTTAGGCAAGGAATCACTCAGTTTTTATCAAGAGAACATCAAGGTATAGTTAAGCACCCCTATTCCTAAGTTTCAAGCCTGGTTAATAAGGGTTTTTGGCTTGAAAAATTAAGAAAAATGCTGCCAAATTTCGGTGGATCATGTGATACTTAGGAAAGGATAGAAACGCTAAATATCAATTGGAATAAGCAAGATTAAGTAGTGTATGGATTGATTTTTGGAAGAAAACCAACCTAGGATTCCTAAGCTTCAATTCAGCCAGGTACTGTTCATGGGGTAGGAAATTGTTTTTCATTGATTTGATGACTCCAATGGGTTTAAAATGTGTTTTTGTGTAGGGCTATACTATTGGAAAGTGTTTAAAATCATTGGAATAAAAAATGAAATTTTTGGAAGCTTAAACCGCCTATTCGGCTAACTCAACTTGAAAGGGAAGGATTTTGATTTTTAAAAATATGATTTCATATTTGGATTCCTCATGAAAAATTATGTGGAAATGAGTTATGAGGTTATTGATTCTAAAGGAGGAATTATTTTGTTAAAAATCAAAGGAAAAGGGGGGGAATGTTAAGTTAAAGATAAAGTGTTATGTTTAAGTGGTTTGGCTATTGATGTAGGTTATGTCTATGCTTGATTTAATAGGCTTTGTGAAGAGGAGTCAAGGAGGATCGTTGTTCCTTGAGGAGACCAAATTAATCAAGTGATAAAAGGTAGCTTTGAATTATAATTTGATTGTTTATCTTGTTTGTTTAATGTGATTTGGCATTGCTTGGATTGAGGAATTTGTGTTGTGATTTTGGTTAGTTGTTTAGCCTTGGTTTGCCAAATGCATTGAATTGTGTTAATGTGGAAGTGTTGATGTTCCTCCCCTAACATGAAACTAAGCATGATTTTATGTGACTTAAGGATGTCTTAAAGATTTATGACATGTCACATTTTAACTTGCTTGATTTGCATGATAATTATAGTTCAATGGCTACTGGATTTCTTTGAAATCTCATTCCTCCTATGTCAATTTATTTATCATTTAGGAAATGGCTCATCCATGGATCAAGACAAGGAATTGGTGCTAGGATGAAAGGGCTTTGTGAATGTTACATTAATTTGGAATGTTATGTAATTTGCTAACACACTTTATGTTGAGTTTGTAATGGATTATGAATGATAATATACGGTAAATTATATTGGTATGACTTATCAAGTGCTGGAATATTGGATGGTGCAATGTAAAAAGGATGTGGAAAGAGGAAAAAGGGAAAGAAATTCAAGAAGAATGGAATTAGGGGACAATAATACCCTAAAAGAGGCTAATCTTGTGACGCATAAAATAATAAGAAAATGATGGAATCTGGACCTAAGATTTTGTAGGTAAATAGATCTCATTTTTAGCTTTAAAAAAAGTGGTAAACCATTAAATTTGGAGTTTTGTGCTAAGAGTTATGCCCTTTCAAAGTTGGGCTAAAATCCTGAAAAATCAAAAATTGATCATATGAACAGTGTACATTATCAAATTTTCTGGTGTTGTTTTGGGTGGAATTGAGTCTAATGAATATTTTTCCTCTATAGAACTCTTAGCAAGCTTTGTGTGAAAATTAGAACCATCCCGTTTCAATTTTTCTAGAATTAGTTATGGATTTTCAAAATTAGTCCAAATTCAGATGAATAGTGTGTTGACAGAATAAAATGTGAGATTTTAAAATTAAAATTTTTCATCAGGAGACATTGGGAAATGGGTTCTAATGGTTCTAATTGACGTACAATGGGGTAATAAAGGAGGTGTTACAAATGAGACATCATATAAGTTGAACCCCCAATTGAGGCAAAAACATAATTTTGAAAAGTTTAAGATCATAAAGGATCATTTTGAAAAATATGCTCAAAATTTCAAAATTTTTAAAAGAAAATGGAAAATATTTAAAATATTATGGATAATTTGAGGATCCCATGGGTGAAAACTGAACAAATACCTAAGGAGTTGTCCTAGGAAAAAAAATAGGCAAAGAAGCCTATAGTAGTAGAGAATGCTTCACTACAAAAAAGAAAACCAAATCACTGAATGACTTATCGACAAAATAATTTCTATTGCAAAACTCCATCAGAAATCCGTGGCAAATTCCATAAAAAATATCACTGATAGAATTTGCTATGGATTTTTGATGAAATTTTTTCGTTAGTAAGTTGTTGATAACTTCATTTTCTGACGAAATTAGCCAAAAAAAATTCCATCGATAATTTCCATTGGAAATCCATGGCAAATTCTGTTGAAATATCTACGCACAGAATTTTCAACAGATTTCCAATGGAAATTACCGACAGAATACTTTCCGTAGATTATTCCATGAGAAAAGTTAATTTCTTTTCCTCCAAGGTACCATGTAATTAAAAATTTTATAACTTTAGTCTTATACAAAGTAGTCATTTTATTTTTTCATGAGGTAAAAGACTACTTTATGTAAGAAAGAAACAAATGAAACTCTGGTAAAAGTACATAGTGAAATCCTGGAGGCACTGGTGAACTATACTAACTCAATCTATGCACTTGATTGACCTAAGTATGGAAAAATTAAAATTTTTTTTTGACTTATTAGTTGATTGTGACTATCTCAAATTAATTGAATATTATTGATCCTACTGTAGAAGAATAAATTTTAGAGACAAAATTGAATTTTACTAATCTTGAGAGAATAAACATGAAGAATATAATGAGCGCAAGGTAAATATTTATATAGAATGGTGTATAACAATATTACTAACTTATTAATATTGAGTTTGTTAGAACGGTAAACAAAAATAAAATTGCCTTACCAAATATTTAACATGGTTATAGTTTTAGGATTTGGACTCGACACTTTTAATTAAAAAATTACAAACTCCTATAAATTAAACAAAGTGCTTAATGATTTTATTGTACATTATAGTAGTTTATAGTAATCCTCATTATAATGTAAGAGATGTATGAATCCTAAGTATCATCTCTTGTAATTTATTCATGACAGTATTATTCTTGTTTTTTACTCCACATCTTTATGTAATTTGATCTTGTCAGTGTTATATGATATGTCATATCTTATCTTTTTTGGAAAGATATGGACATTTTTAGACTGAAAAATATCAAATTATTTCAAATTATATTGAAAAAAAAATTAAACTGATA